TTACTGTGTTTTTAATAGATATACTATGGTTTTTTGAGTTGCAATGGTGGAAAACATGGGATGGTTTTTTATTGTGTTCTGTGAATCTGGTTTCCAATTTTCTTCCTGTTTCTCCAATGTAGAATTCTGGACAGTTATTGCATGTTATTTTGTAAATGACTTTGGTATTGTGTGATTCTAAATCATTTTTGTTTAGTAACGATTTTAATTTTGGGCCAGGTTTTTAAGAGAATTTGACGTTGACAGGAATATTGTGTTTAATGGCTAGTTTTGTCATGTGGATAATTCTTGAGCTGGTATCAGGAACAAAAGGTAAACTGCAGTGTAATGTTCTGGTGTTGGGTTTGTTAGTATCAATTTTGTTTGTGAGTTGAGTTTTGTTGTGGGGAATGTTGGAGAGTTTTTCAACAGCAGCTGGTGGAAATTTATTGGTGTGAATGAAGGAATGCTTTATGTGGTTGATTTCTTCATTTATGTAGTCCGTTGAACAGAGTCTTGTGGCTGTGTTTATGAGGTTTTTGAGTGTATTGATTTTTTGTGTGGTGTCATGAGCAGAATTCTACTCTTTCACACTACTCTTCTGCCTTAGAGACTTGCATGCCACCAGTCTTTTGAAACTCCAACCTAAAATTCATGTGAAGTTGCACTACTGAGTGATGGCATATCATGCATCAAAACCCTTAACCATTAGGAGTGTGATACACTTCTTTATGCAAATGCTGCATGTACATTCACCTCCAAATGTCCTCATTCTTTGATGAGGCAAACAAGAAAAGTGCACCAGCAAATCAAGAGGAAATATGGGAATGTGCACAGAAGTGAGTATCTATTGGAGATACATTTTCAGGTAAACAAAATGTTAATTTCCAATACAATGGCTCACCTTCGTGAACATAGTAACTAGAATCCCACACTGAGATGGTAAAGGGACCAGTGCAGAAATTACCTCTCTGAGCCACCTTTCAAGAGCCCAAAAGGGAAGCTCATGAAATACGAGGGAAAGAAAGACCAATCAGGACAAAGGAGAAGGGAAAAGCAGGAAGAAACAAGGGCATAAATATGTGTACAAAAGCTATCAATGGTAAGTAGGAAAAGAATTCACGAGTCCAGGAAGAGCAGAAATATCCACTACTAGAGGTTTGATAGGGACCCAGGTAAAATCATGAAGAACCACAATCATAATCCAATCAGGAAAGTAGGAGGGAGGGGAGCAATGGATAAAGAAGGAATGAAAGAAGGTAGAAAAGCAGCAAAAGAGAATAAGGGAAAGTGACACTAAGAAAGGCAGAAAGTGAAGGAAATGTTGCCCTAAATCCAAGATAGAAGAGACTTACAAACCATAGGAAAACCATCCTATGAAATATGAGGAATATATGACAATGGAATGAAATCAAAGGGAATGGTGACAAAGAAACCAAGGTGATAAGTATGTCCCTTACGTCAGCACACAGAAGAGGTAGAAGGGTGACAGGAGTGGGACAAGGGATAGCTATATATGATCAGGGAGGTGGATTGGACAATCCCATATGCAATGATAAAGGGAAAAGATGAAAGAGCAAAGTGTAAGGGTGGATCAAAAGGGATGGAAAGTTAGGAAGGGGAAGACAGGGCTGAGACTTGAGCAGGTGGAATAATATGAACAAGGTTGGGATAGACTGTAAGGAGCCATCAGAGGGACCCAATAGGACCTGAGGAAGAAGACGAGGAAGTGGACATGCATAGTATAATAGATGGGACAGACCAGATTGAATGTACAGATAGCCAGAGCTGAGGATTGAGGCACAGACTAGAAAAGAGGAAGTTAGCAACAAAAGAAGGAACAATGAGAAAGCAGAACTTCAGAAGACCAGTGGGTAAAAAAAAAATTCATGGGTAGGACATGGTCACATCAAGAACACAGCCCACAATGATATGCAGTGTCCCCTGAACATGAAAGGTTATGGACACATTCAAATGGCATAGACCCAGAACCAAATCTGAACACTATCTTCTATATGTGTATGTAAAGAAAGAAGATTCAAGAGTATCTACTAGGAGTGCATGTAATGGAGTTAGTAGCCACATCTAACCAATGACTATGGGAGACATTGTATGGTACAAGCAATTATGTCTAAACCTTATCTTCTAATGGTATATAAAGTAGTAATTAACCAGATCTAATCATTATAGTCTATGTGGACAAGTGAAAGAGTAATGAACGAGAACTAAACATTACCATCCATGCAGTAAAACTAAGACAAAATATTAATTATTAAGTGGCCATGTTATGGAGTAATGAATGAAGTATATACAACATTGTCAAAGTGGTGCAAGATAAGGAAGAATAAATTATATTGAAATATTATATCCTTTGTGTACGTATTAAGGAGTAACAAAAGAGACTAAACATGAACGTTTAAGTATGCATTATAAAGAGAAACTAGATCGATGCATCACCTACTGTGTGTAACTATTAAAAAGTAATGTACTAAGATGAAACATTACCTTCCAAGTGAAATAAGGAATAAAGAACTATAATTAAACAACATATTCTCTGTGTTATATGTGAAGAAGTAATGAACTAGAACTAAATATTATCTTCTAGCTATATATGTTAAAGAATAAGAAACTATACTCACACATAGTTATATATATACATAACGAGGCATAATCAATTAAGACTAAGCAGTATCTACCAAGAGTACATGTGAAGAAGTGGTGAACAAGATGTAAACATTACCTTCTATTTGGATACATTAAGGAGTAATAAACCAGAATGAAGTATCAACAACATGTTACAATTGAAAGAGCAACTATCTGTGACTAAACATTAAAGGTCCATGTTTACATGTTAAGGAATAAGTGAATATGACCAACCATTAACATCTAAGTGTACATGTGAAAAAGAGATGAACTGTGACTAAACACAGTATACTCAGTGGTATATGTTAAGAAGTAAGTAACTATGATTAAACATTATAGTCTAACTAGTGCAAGTTAAGGAGTAATAAACAATATCCAAACATTATGTACCATGAGTTAAGTGTTAATGAAGAATTAACTATATCTAAACAATAACTACTACATGTTTCCTGATGAAGGATGAGGCATAAAACAGCAGGAGCAAATTGAAACCTGAAGTAAATGCCGTATGGCACTAACAGGGGAAGAAGAAAGGAAACAATGAGTAGAAGGCATACACAAGGAAGAAAAATCGAGATATTCATTAGGTAGAGAAGTATTGGGTAGAAAAGTCACTCCATTTCATGCTCCTCAACTTCAGCTTTAAAATCTGTGAAGGGAAGAACGTACGGCAGTAAAGGAAGTAGAGGGTCCAGGTGGCAACATGGACTTCACCACACAGAAGACAATGCTACGTTACTCTTCGACTTTACTTCAACCTGATTGGTACCTTTTGCAATACATGATGGCTGTCACGATTTCAACAGGCAAGAACTTCCAAAATTGTTGGTAACTGTGAGTGATATTTGTACTCACATCAGCAGAAAAATAAATTCATCTTAATTTTTGAATTCATATTGAATGATTGTAAATAAAAAATAAAATTGTTGAAGTAAATGCTTCATGTCTCAACAAAAATATACAAGTCTATGTGCAACTGCACCAAGGAAAAATATTAGGACTTTCACACACGAATGTAGAGGGAGCATTTGTGCAAGTAGGTATGTTTCACTCCTATTGGTGAATGATTTTGCTACTTAATACATCATCACACAGTAGTGCAAATTCAACTGTTTCACTTGAATTTTAGGTGGGAGTTTCACAAGGCTGGCAGCATGCAAGTATCAAGGCAGAAAAGCACAACCTTCAGACGAAAATAGCTAATCATCGTATCAGAATATTGTAGTTCCAGTAGAGACAAAATCTCTTAACCTATTAGAAGAATTGACAGATCTTTAAAAATCAAAATAAATAGCACCAAACCTTTATGGCATACTTTTACATGTGACAGATCTCATTCTAAAGTGCTTTGATTTTTAAAGGTGTACCAATTAGTTTTCACAACCTTTAATACATACTAAACAAATATAAAACATTCATGTCAGGTCCAATGGAAAGCTCCAGCTTAGCAGAATGTACATTCAGTAAATTTCAACAATAATTTTCAAACCATTAAGCCTTTAGAAATTAGTTACTTCAAATTAAGATGATAAATCAAGAAGTGTATTAACTAAGTTGAATTATTGCTTATAACTTTATTTGAAAACAATTCTAGAATTTATATAGTTAGGTACTTCCTGTTTAGGACTCTTACAAAGAAAACAGTTAAGTGCTATAAAATAAAAGTTATCTGATAGTATAGATTATTTTACTAAATTACTGTACATTTATCAAAGTTTTAGATATTAAAGTTTATAGTTATAGAAAAAAAAAATCTGAAACAATTTTTTGTCTTATCATTTTCAATAAACTTCATAGATAGTGTAACACCTACCCACTCCCAAAAAAAATTCATCTGCCAAAGTGATACTAGCATTGAGTATCTCAGAGGCATCACTAGGCACTGGCACAAATGACCCATGCCCCAAATCCACAGTTGATGTTTTGAAAACATCAAAATAGAAAACCTAAATATATAAATATTTCCTGGGTGAGGCTATGGGCCGAGCTCAAAAATTTTAAGCACGTAGCAACATTTCTGGAGTATTTAATTACGACTCATCATTTTCAATTTGTTTAAGTATAAAAAAAAAGACAAGAGAGTAACTTTACATGAAACTCAAGAATAACTTTGACAGTTTTTATCTGAAAATTAAAGCATTAGACCAAACTTTAATATTATAGGTGTGTGTTTGTGTGTATGTGTAAAATGATTCATTTTTGAAAAACCTTACTACCTGTAGTCACACAAGAAGCTTAACATCAATATTAACTGGACACCAGACATATACAAATTTCTACACATGACTAAGAAGCACATAAAATATCTACTGTTCTTAATTTCAATCTTTCATACTTATGAACAAAAGTTTCAACTTATAACTACAGACAATATGTCATAAAACAGTAATTTTAGTATTGAGATACAAAAAGGGCTGTGTAATATCTTGATGTTGTTAATGAGTAACAAGAGCTTTAGTATGGCATTATCAAAATATTTTTTTATTTCAGAAACATAATCAATACTGGCCTTCATCTTTCAATTCAAAAGTTTTGCTTTTCAGTTGTTTTTTTTTTAGAAATTACAATTTTGCAGCAATATTGTTTATATTACATTATTTGAAGTTTATAATTAGCTTTAAAATAATGGTTCCTTCTACTATTATTATTCATATAGCCAATTACAATTTGTTTTATTAACACTCTAAAATGATTGAAAATCATGTGAATTAACATTATTAAATATACAGTGAGGTTTAGGAATCAATTTAAATTCAATCTCTGAACTTTTTATAGTACTTGTAGTCACAATTTCATATGACACACCCTTACATTGCTGTTTGGAAAAGATATATGAACAAATCTAAACCCCCTTGAAAAAACCCAAATAAAAATAAATTCTTCTGTCACAGAAATGTCAGTAAAATAATAAAAGTTATACAACTGAATATGAGTATGTATATGTATCACAAAATTTAAACTTGAAAGTAATATCCCAAAGCAATGAATTACCCATATGTCATAATGAATATCACAAAAATGAGCACAAGTGACTTATCTAATCGAACCTAAAATTATGTACAAACTCTTCACTTACTATCGCAACAACCATTGGACCACAATTCAACAATATTTTGATAGGTAGTTTGAACTATCATAAGCCTGTCTTCACCGAGTACCTTCTGTTTGCACCCTTCCTCTTCTCTCTGAAATAACAAATATTCTCCAGTCACTTTCACGTAAACACACAATTAAATAATTAATAAGAAAAAAGGAAACTTAACTGAAAAGCTGTTAAACTACAAGTAGCTGTGTGTTTATGTAACATAAGAAAAATGTGTTGACAAGCGGGTATTAAATCCTTTGATGGCACATATAACAACCAAAGTCACCCAACCAAAATACAGATGTTCAATATTGATACATCCATCTAAAAAGAAAAAAAAATTATACTAATATACATGACATGATTAAGTAAATGATTCTAAACACAATCTTGAAATTAAAAGAATAATCGTCTGTATCTCGATTGGAATCCCGGTTGTAGTAAGAACTCCTGACCAGGTGTCTGTTTTTATCAATTTGTTAGTTTGGCATTTTATGTTAGCAAGACATTGGAATCAATTTTTTTGCAGATCATAAAAAGCATTTGGAAAGTTGTTAAATAAAGAAGCTGTTATTAAACAAGGTGTTTAAAAAAGATATCAATTACCAAGTTTGACATATATATATGAGAGTGGTGGAAAAGTTAAGAAGTATGGACCCATCGTATCACAGGTATCTTTATAGTGCAATATAGGGATTGTATGAATAGATGTACTATATCATGATAAAGAAGTCCTAAACTGGTACAATGCAATACACCTTGGAATTCCCATAAACATTTGTACACAGCAATTGCCATATAATACATTGCAGTGATGGAACTTTGAAAATTAAAGAGAGTGGGGCTTTACTCTCATCTACATATTTAAACATGATTCTAATCAGATACATTCTCTTAAAGAAAACTCAAAATTGATTTCTACTGCAAACAAGTTTAAAGTTGGCCAAAATATAAAATGAAAAGCTGCAATACAGAAGCTCTTTGGCTCAAAAAAACAAAGAAAAGATAACCAAATCGAAAATAATGCATCATAGCCAAAAAATTTAATGTAGAAGTTAAATTCTCTGGTGGAACAACAAATACACTGATACCACCCTTCACTTATACAAGATGGTACAACTCCAAGAAAATGACAGCTTAGATGTTTAAAAGCCTTCAAATCATGCTCCTAATGGTCAACAAACTAAGTCTAAAAGTTTTAAAGTAAATAAAAGTCCTTATAAGCTGAGATCATTATACTGAAAATTGCCACAATCAGTATTAAGGATCTGCATCCATTCAAAATTGTGTGCTCTAAGGGATTTAGAGACCTTTTGTTCATATAAGATTTCCAACACCAGTATCCAAACAGAAAAGTTTTCAGAAATTACAAACGTGAAGTGAAAAACTTCATTCTCAAAATTGAAAAAGTTCATTCAAGTTCTATTTGTGAAGTTCAGTGTGTTCACTTGAATCATTTCTCGTCATTACCTAGATAACATTCTCAGTGAAACAGTTCTGACTGTTCTTAAACATGTCCATTACATTTATGATCAATGACTTCAGATATATTTTTATTTGCCAAGTGAGCTGGCAAGTATAACAATTAAAGTGTTGTGGATCTTCAATACTCAGTAGAAGTTAACATTTCATATTTTACAAGTTTATCTTGTTCCCTTTTTATGTGTTCAATTGAGTCTTATGCCCAAATCAACCACCATCAGTAAAAGTATTCCTTCCTACTGCCTATGAGGCAGCAGATCTCCACATGAGGTGTCAGTGTGGACCCTTGGACTGGCACCTATTGTTCAACTTATCTATTCAGCCACTTGCTGAGTGATTAATAGATCCATATTGCCAAATAATGCATACAACCTGTAATTAACAGGTTGTATAATTGTTAATTTAACTATACCTTTGTTATAATTTTGATGAAAAGAAAAAGAAAACAAGACAAATGTCATGTTTTTTGTTTTATTTTAAAATAGTTGACATACAATGTCAGATTTTAACACTATTTTGTTACATATAACAATACAGTTTAACCACATCTCAATACAAAATGTAAGCAATACTAACAACTGTAAAGAAGTCAAGGATTTCATTAAGAAAACAGTGTTTATTACAACTATGAAAAGGATCCAAAAGTCTGAAAATGCTTATTGAAGTATTTTCAAAGGTACAAAAATGTTTACAAGAGTGTTAATGTTTTATTAGAAATATTTCCCATAAATACAATCATTCCAGTCTGTTTTCTTCAAATCTAGAGCGAATAAAGTTGAGCCATAGCTTTTGAGTTTTCATGACTTACAATCATAAAGGGACATCCAACAAACATTGAAGAAAAATGAGTTACCTTTCCCCACCTTTATTTCCAGCTGAATAATGGATGACATCACACTAAACCTGTGCTCTTCCTTCCAATTTTATGAATAGTCAGAATTGGAATTCCTATGTCTTACATAATGTATTGAAAACTACTAAAAAATAGGGTTAACTATGAGGTTAATAAAAAAATAATATTTTGCCACTGCTGTAATGGAACAGCTAAATCCCTCTTGTTGCTAAGTGACAATACTAAAATACCTGCACATGCATGTGTATAATGCTGAATTAACATTAACTTTTATTGACAACAAGACAAGATGTCCAAGCATAAATTTAATACAAATGATAGGCTTATCCAGATAAATTTTTGTCAGGGCATATTTCTGTCGAGAACAACAGATAGAAACTTTTTGAGCTCTAAACAGAGAAATTAGAAATACTAAGTAATAATAACTGTAGTAATAAAATCTGAAATTGTCCAATCCTAACTAAGATGTACTAGAAATAATTATTCCAAATTTTAATTATACCAGAAAAACTTTATAATTATAATTATAAAGTTTTTCTGGTATAATTAAAATTTGGAATAATTATTTCTAGTACATCTTAGTTAAGATTGGACAATTTCAGATTTTATTACTACAGGTACAGGTAAGCCTAAAGTTACAACATTTGGCTTTATACTAGATCTTTAGGCCTAATTTACTGTTGTTTTTAGGTAACAGTACAAGCATTAGTTATAAGGTACTAAAATTATTAAATATTAGATTGAAATGAAGAATTATCACAAGCATTAGATAAGAAAAAAAAGAAAATTTATTCAAGAGTTGAAATGATTATGTATTAATATTTTGTAGCAGCTGAGAATTTAATATGTTAGTACATTATTTAAATTAAATATTGGTTACATGTAATTGGACATCGTGTACTAATATAATGAACTGCACAAGTATCAGTAAATAGGTTATTTTAGTGTTAAATTAATATTAATTTATCTATAAACTGTGAACTAGCTTAATGTTACATGATTGACACTGATTATAGCAAATATTTTATTATTACACACCTTTCCTTACCAATTAATGGTCTTACCTCTCTATTAGACCAATTACAATCTAATATTCATAATTATTTTTTATTTGACTAATCACAGTATGCTAGCATGAACACTTTTATTATTTTGTGCAAAAGGAGCACAGTCCGGCCAACTCCCTAAAATCTGCATCTTCTCAGCCAAACATTATCGAGGGGCGTGTTCTTTTGGAAGTGTGGTTTTTAGAGGTTAAGAGATCAAGCCCTTTATCAGAGTACATGTTTTTGGTACTAACTTGAATACCTGAAAACATGTAACCCCTTTGTAGCCCATTCAGTCTTACTGACTTGCAGACTGGTTGTTAAGGTATGGGGATTGGACTATTTTTAAGGGAGATACAGAAATTACCCTGAAAATTATAGGCCAATTAATATTAGTTCTTTAATGTGAATAATTCTAGTCTGATAAAAGAAGCTTCAAAAAATTATGTAAAGAAACAGGATACAATAAGTAAGAGCCAAGATAGATTCACAAAAGGAGAAAACATTACCTTACTAACCTGTTAACTTCTTTTTAACTAATGTTTTTTTTTTGTTATCCAGACAATGGACAGGATGTGGACTTGGTGTACTTAAAATTTTCAAAAATCTTGTGATAAGGTGCCACACAGCAGATTAACTAAGAAAATCACATTGGTAGGGGTTTGAGAAAGACGATGTAATTGAATTGTAGGGTGGGTGGATGAAAGAAAGCAAAAGGCTGTTACTAATGGAGTCCAGTCAAACTGGACCCTTGTTATTAGTGGAATATCTCAAGGGGCAGTGTTTGGACCTTTGCTTTTTTTATTTACATTAAATCTAAGAACTTATGGTTGAAAGTACAGAAAAATCTATAACATTACGTCAACCATACTATATCTGCTGTATCCAGCATCGATGAGGCTTTTCACCCAATAACAGCACTCATCAGGATGGCTTGATATGACAGACATGGTATTGGTTGATATTCTATTCATATTATTAAGTGGCATGATGCTGATAGGGGGCATAATTAGTAAATTAGTGAAGTTGGATGATTACATTAAACTCTTGGTAATTCTAGCTGTATCTACTTCAGGTACTACAGAATCACCTGGATCAACTGACAAGTTGGACAAATATTTTGTAAATGACACCTTGAACCCCAGTTAACAATTACAAGGTAATACATTTGGGATATTATAATATAAATTATAGGCACAATTTTATTACAGATAACTTTAACTATTGCTAGTGGTTGGACAAATAGGATATTAGGTTGTATCTACAGAAATGTTGAATACAAGTCTAAAGATTATAATTTCATTGCATAGGGCACTTGTTTGGCCTCATTTGTAATATTGTTTTCAGCCTTGGACTCCTTATCTTTAAAATGGACACTAAATTATTGGAAAGGATTCAAAGGAAGGATGATACCAGGGATGGAAAAGTTGTCATACATAGAAAGGTTAGGATCTCTAAAACTGTTTTCTCTTAAAAAAAAAAAAAAGAATTAGAAGGGATCTGATTTACATGTTTAACACTGTTAAATGAACTGATGGTGTCAATGAATCATATTTTTTCAGTACTTAATGGTAAGATCATTAGAACAAAGGGATACAAATAAACATTTTTGCAGGGTAGGAGTCATCTTCAGCTAAGATAGTTTTATTTTTCTAACAGAGGTTGACCTTTGGAATGGGTAGCCTGTAGATGTGGTAGATACAGCTAATTCAAGGGAAAGCTTGACTAATATTACAATGATAAGATCTGGCATTGAGTGTTTGAGTGTATGTATGACCTAGATAGATCAACAGGCCCTTGCTTCCTAAGTGATATGTTAAAAGCTACAATTTCATTGTACACCTATCTCATGTCAGGTTACGAGCAAATTGTTTTTGTAAATAATTTCACCAAATATACTTAAAATGAAAATCAACCAAAGCCATAGCCATTTTAGCTACATTAGAATTTCAATGTTTTTAAACCTTGAAATTGAAACTAAAGTTACAAGTAATATACAATATCCAAGTAGCAGTTAAGTGTTATGATTATTTATAATGCTAAGTACAAGTTTTACATTTTATTATGCATTAGTGGATAAAAATAGCAAGTAACACAAATAGTTATTGTAACATCACCATTTATTCCCATTACAACATTAATCTCATATCAAATCTTATATCATTAAACTTACTCTCTTAGTTTGAATACTATTCAGTTTTCAACTAAAATATTATTATTATTAGGCAAACAATGTATTTATTTCTGATTTCCAGTTCTGACTTGTCATCTTTTTTCATATTTAACAATGATAATAGTAGGACTAGAGGACACAAATATAAATTTTGGCAAGGTAGGAGTCATCTTCAGCTAAGACAGTTTCATTTTTCCAACAGGGTGGTTGGCCTTTGGAATGGGTTACCTTCAGATGTTGTAGAGGCAGTAAATTTAAGCGAGTTTAAGAAAAAGCTTGATAAGTATATGAATGATAAGGACTGGGTTTAAGATTTTTTTCTAATTTATTTTAGAGGATGGAACAGCCAAGATGGACCAACAGGTCCCATGTTGTTCCAAAACATTATGTTATGTTAAACATTACCTCAAAGTTTGAAAATCTGCAAAAACATTTACAATTTTAACAAAAATAGCAAAATCTTAAATTTTCCCTCCTTTACAGTTTACTTAGTGGCAATGGTGCTTTTAGTACATGGTATTTTCTTTAGGAAAATTAATTTCTCGGCATCAGTACTGTCAGTCCTTTTATTATCACCACTCAGCAATTTGTGGTCTTCAGCATAACTTTAAATTATCTCCAATTACAAGATATATGAAAATCATTCTCAAACTATTATATTCACAAGTTTTACTTTGATTTACACCTTAAAAAAAATAGTGGAATTTTATCATTTTAAAAAAGTTGGAAAATTGTGTAAATTCCTCCGTTTTCCATCATAATATAGTTGCATTACCACAAATATCATTGCTACTCTACTAGTGCTATAGGAAGTGAAGCCATATAATATAATCCATGTGTATATAATAATAAATTATAAAATACACATTATTTTATTCATAATGCATTACCATAAAATAGCATGCTACACATTCCCATACATTGATACAGACAGTAGAAACATTCAAAAGTAAATTTTCAACTGATTTGTAACACCATAACTTCTACTATCTAGGTAGATCAATCTAATTGTTAAACTTAATTCCTATTTGTTTATTTTCTACAATTCTTACCTTTAAAATTCTATTGTAAGTTTCCTTCACATGAAGAAATGTTTTCACACAAAGACTACAGACTCGCACTGGTTTTGCATTAATTATTGAGCACATAATAAATTTTGATGAAGCATTTGCAAAATCACCAAGTAAGTTCAAACACATATTGTCAGGCTTTGGCAATCTATATTCACTTCCATCATTATTATTAGCAGCTTCAGCAACAGAAAAATTAGGGGCATGGACATAAGAATCAAACGATGGTGATTTGAACAAAATTCTTTTCTGAATATTTTCAGTTTGACTGCTTTTTAAATAGTTCTTTAAATTTATTGAGACAGGATTATCTTGCTTCAGTTCATCAGTCTGAAAAACGTTTACTCTTTTCTTTTTAAACGGTGGTTGATATGTTTTGCGACTCACTTTCATGTCTAACAACTCTTTACGTGTCCAGTCTTTTTCACTATTTTGAAATTTAGGAATGACAGGACTGTGAGTGTCATTAGGCTTAACCCCAAAACTAGACAAACTTTCTACTGTAGTATAACCATGGGCATAAATCGCTGCACTGGAACTTAAAGTTGTAGTAACGTAAGTGCTTATTATTATAAGTTTCATAAACATATATATAATTTCACTCTTATAATACATCATAACGATTCACGCATAACATTACTTTGAGCATTACTAAAACACACTTTCTGAACATGGTAGTGGTACACAATACTAGTTACTACTTCACGTAAATAAAATAGCCCTAATGTCATACTTCCGTATTAGACACGAATCATTACGCATCCCTCTTAATTTCGTTGTGATGAAAGCTTCTTATTTTATATATTTCATACATAATTTAAAAGTATTTTATGCCTATATATTGAAACAGACATATTTATTACAACATATATATTTTTTTTCTTTTTTGTCCATAAGCACTCTTTCTACATCAAATATTTTAAAATGGTAAAATATACAAAAAATATTGTTGTAAGCTATATTTTTAATATTTTGATTTAGATGTTTGTTTGCTAGAGAATACATGATTCAAAATCTAGAAATTTCGTGTAGTATGAAGAAATAAGAGAAGAGTATAAATACGATAATCAGTGAATGATTGAGTAACCAATGAGTATTCAAAAGGTGATTCAGTTGAGTGTTAGTAGTGAGAATTATTGCGTCTATTCACTTACTCACTATGTTAGGGTGTTAATTTATTGATCATTTAGCTTTGCAAAGAAATATTATAAGCAAGTTAGGTATGCACCATTATTCTTGCAGTTTCTGTTGAAACATTGTTTGTAAATGTAGGTGGAAAACTTGTGTTTGGTTGTTTGTTTGTTGTAAAGCACAAATCTGTACAATCGACTATCTGTGCTCTGCCCACTGTGAGTATCCACACTCATTTTTAGCATTATAAGCTCATTGACTTACTGCTGAGCCACTGTGGGCTACAGCTTGTGTCAAAGTGAACAATAGCCGATAGCAAATGTTACTGAATAAGTAAATTAATTCAATGTTATTAAGTAGATTAGACTTGGCAATATTTTTACAAACTAATCCAAACGAAAACACCCAATAATATAATATGTTACAACAGTTACAACAGTGAGATTATTTTGGTGAAAATAAAATAAAACTTTGAGTAACTTTCAGCTTTCAAAATAACGATGTGAACCAAAATCAGAAATTCATTGGAATTGGTGAAACAGTTTTACAGTCTAGAAGCTTAGAAAATGAAAATAAGAACAAAAAGAAATTGACAAAAAAATTGAAAGGAAAGAAAGAAGAAAGACAAAACATTAAAAGAAAGTGAGGAAAGAGACAGAACAATAAAATAATGTCAATAAGATATGTACAGAAAAAAGAAAAAAGACCAAGAAAAGTATATAGAAAATTAAAAGAAGATAAAAAGGTAAGAGATGAAATTTAAGTGTGAAGTTAAAAGAAAATGACAGAATATTCAAAAAAGAATGAGAAATTTTTGATTGAAGACAATGTTAATGAAGCTATTGGAGGTGTATGGAGGATTATAGCAACAAAATTGAAGAAATACAGAAAGGTTGTAAGGACATAATTGAAAAATGTACGAAAAAGAGAGAATTGAGATAAAAAAATAACATCAGTGACAGAATAAAACATCTGTAAAACGAATTGATAAATGAGATGAACCTATTTGGTCTATACCTATTACTACTACTGTTGTGCCACGTCACTACTAAATTCAGTTTCCGAATTTAACTGGCCAATTCCGCAACATCTCAATCGAGAAAATAATGGAGTATGGTGGAAAGGTACCATGGGAGGCATATCAGGCTCATTTGGAAATAATTTTCAGAGTGAATGAGTAGAATAGCGAACAACAAGCTATTCACCCTTTGCTTCTCATTTAAAATGACCAGCATTAACAATATTAAGTAATCATCCAGGTGAGAAAAATAACAACTATCAAGCATTTGGAGCTGCCTTATACAACAGGTTCATAGTAACATAGCAGAAGGAAGTCTTAACATCTGCCCAAGTATAATTCATATTATTCATCGTGTATTGGAATGATGAACTGTAAGTGTGCTAGTAAGTTTCTTCTAATTGTATCTAAAATCTCTATCACTTGTGTTGGGGATAAAAAAATAAGGATTTAACTTCTTACTTGCAATGTCATTGAAAGGCCTGTAGTGGTCTAGTAAGTTTTGTTTTGTATTTCTCTAAAGTAAAGAGAGCAAAGGTTTTACCCTTTTTCACTGACTTATATTTCAAATCTATGGTGCGTTTCCTATAAACAACGACGATCATCATGATGACGATGATTTTGATGAGGACGATGGTTTTTATGAATTATTGTTATGAAAAAGATATTTGTTCAGCAAAATAGTAAAGATTTGCCCCCCGGGGGTATTTCAAGTATTTCCCCCCTGGGCAAGGGGTTAAAAAATCGCTAAAATACCCCGGGGTGGACATTCTAGTAATAACTTGACAAGTAAAATAGTTACCCATTTTCTACTTTTAATTTTAAAAATTTTCTAATTTCGGTGCCTAAAAGTATTACCGCACTAATCGAGTTTTATGCAGGCACTAATCGAATATTGGTTATAAAAAATTTAAGCGCACTAAACGAAAACGCATTAATCGAGGGATCCCCGTAATTAGTTTAAAGTAAACTAGTTTAAAATAGCTGGGATTTGAGAATTTGTGTGGATATTTAAACTGTTTGGAGAAATTTCAATAGAGTACATAAGATTAAAAACAAACCAATAGAATAATGAAACAAAAAATAAAAAATAAGAAGAACAAGATAAGTCTGATCAAAGTAAAAGGGGAAAATGTGACTGGAAAAGGGGTGAGCGTGACTGTAAAAAGAAGTAATGTAGGTGTTGGTTATTTCAAGCAAATATCCCCCGGATTTATAACTCTAAAATCAGAGGTTCGATTCCTCTCGGTGGACACAGCAGATAGCTCGATGTGGCTTTGTTATAAGAAAAACACACACAGTTCGAGTAAAATAAGTGAAACAAAAGCCTGATAAATTAATATATATATATACATATATTTGAAGTAAGTTTTATAAGGTATATAATGTACTACTTTTATCTCGTACATTCGTTGAGTGGAGAAAAATACATACGCGCAGTTTTCAAGATTTTACATTTAAGAAAATTGAATTAAAATTGTTTGAAAAGCTAGTTTCATATCTTGATTCAAAACACAAAACATTAAATAAATGAACAACAGTAGACATTTCGGTCCATCCAGGCCATCTCATCTACTAAATTAAATACTAAAAAACTGAAAGTCAGCTCGTATCATTCAAACATCTGGCCAGCTTTCTCTTAAGCTGATCCCGTCAATATTGCCATAATTTATATGTCGAATGCTAATATCTTTACTCATTTGGAGATTCTACTGAGGTTTAGTAACGATTTCTAATCTCCTATTTGAATAAACACCATTATGTGGTTAGTTCGAATATTTGTAATTATATTGGTTACATACTTAAAAGTACAAGAACGAAAAACAGGAGACTTAAGTGAAAAGTAAATAAGTTTCCAAATGCTCTATTTGTTACCCATAACTTTTATAAAACGACAGTTTTAGAAACGTGTTTTTAAATATTTATTGATTGTACATAACCGCGATTATTATATGTTTTTAGAAACTATGAGACTAGTGATCAGTGTAGTCCTGGCGGAAGTTTGAAAATGGCCGACGATGGTGAGCGATTCAATTTTACTATATATGTTTGTTGATTGGTGTAATTTCCCGTTACATTATAGCTAATTCATTTGTGACAGTCAGAAATATTATGTCATTTTTTAGCATTTAAATATGTATATCATATATTTGTATATTTTACTTTTAGTATTAGGTAGAAATATTAATTTGTAGGCTACTTCAATACTGTAGTGTAAGTTTAATAACTAACGTAGGCCTAATTTTGATAAATAATTATAAACTTTTAGCGTAAGTTAGCTAACGTTCGTCATTAATTATTTTAAATGTAAAGATCATGTCCAATGCCTTTAACAAATTCAATTTATACTGGTCATCTACCTTTGACGAATATGTCACTATCAGTTCCTGGTTTTGTTGTAACCATCAAGAAGTTGTATTAGTTGCTGCATTAGTGCATATCTTGTATAACATAGTGTGAAGAAAGTAGGTATTATTAGTATTAATTCTCAGCTGCAAACTTTCTACAACATGGTAACTTGCATGATATTAACATAAAGCTTTAAAAAATAATTAATGTCGATATTAATTCACATAATGGCATCAAGATGTATGTAGCCCATTTTTAGCTTTGATGATATTAACAGGATGCATAATGTATAGACATGATTTATATTTTTATAGAATAAGGGTAAAGGTTGTCAAACCAAAGTACTGTTCACTTTTTTTATAGATGGTTCTTGATTCCTGACAGTAATTAGTGTGAATCTCAGTAACATCTTCCACTGTTGTTATCTCATTTATGTTTTATTCCAATTTACAAGTTATGTGTAATCCTGGCTATTTTAAAATTTAACAAAAATGTTATTATAAGATTGATTCTGGAAATATAACTTAGAGAAAAAGATAAGGTGACAGGAAGCTATGACTTAGATCAATCCAAATGGAAAAAAAAAATTGTTT